AGACCCCAGCAACAGGCTCCCAGGCTCTCTTCCTCTCTTACCCCAGCTCCTCACCCCCACTAGCATGCCCTCAGCTCTGTGGACCCCAGGGGTCTGCCTCCCCTGGGACTGCACACGACTTGCTGCTAGAGAAAACTACTTCCCGCTTCCGGGCCGATGGGAACCCCTCCCATTCACGGTCCCTGTCAGCCGCAGCTCCTTCAGTTACCAGTGACAGAAACCCAACTGGCTTCCGGCAGGGAAAAATGTTTATTGGCTCACAGGACTAAGAAGTCTGAGGTGTACAGGCTTCCGGCAAGACCGGGTCCAGGTGTTCAGATGTCACCAGAAATCTGGGCCTCTGAGCCTCCTGGCTCCGCTATGCTGGTTTTGTTCGCAGTCAGGATCACCACTTGTGGCTTCCAGCTGCGTCTGGCCTACATCCCACCAGCTTCGCTACCCAGTGTGGCCGCCATCATCCTTGCTTGGACTCCTAGAGGGTCCCTGCTGCCACCCGAGCCAGGGGAAAGCCAGCAACCTTGTCAAAACCGGTCCCCAAAGGTCCCACCTTAAGTCCCAGGGCTTGAGCGTGCTGGCTGATTGGCCGGCTGGAATCACAACCCACCTGCACCACTCACAGTGGCCACAGCCGGTGTGGTGCTGTGACCAGCCAGGCTGGGGCGATGTGCCGGCCCCTCAGCCCCAGGGGGTGGGGTCAGCTGCCCACACAGCAGGTTGAGTAGAGGAGAGATGATTCCTCAAAAGAAAGCAGGGGCACCACACCCAGATGGGGAGCGGATGAGAGGCAGACAGGACCCCGGTGGCCCCAGGCTCCAGCTGCCCTGGGCCCATCCACGCTGCCACCCAGCCTCCCATTTCACAGAGAAGGCAGACCCCATCGGATGAAAACTGACTACCCGAATCCCCCCACGAGAACCCATTCACCACCCTCTCCCTCATCAGGTCGGGGTCGGTCTCAGGCAACCTGACCTCACTCCATCAGTTCCCCCAGCCTGTTCCGTCAGGCCCCCCTCACTACAAGCTACCATTTCTGCCACTTTAAAAAACAAACACAAAACTTTCCTTCAGCCTCACTCTGTGCCACTGCTGTCTCCACTTCACGGCTCCGGCTCCGAGCACCTTGGGGTTTCTCACCGCCCACTGTCCCCGCCTTGTTAACAGCGACCAACTGAAGCAGCTCTGCGGAAGGCTCCCTGAAGCCCTCAAGGTGTCACGGCGTTTCACAGCTGACTTCTCCCTCCTCCCAGACTCCCCTGGGGGGCGCCATCATTGGCTCCTGGGGCCCTGGGTCTGGCTGCTCTTCAGGCTCCTTTGCTGGTCCACATCAGCCCCCGCCCTCTCTCCCCTGGGCAAGGTCACCTACTCTCCAGGTTCACACACCTGTCTCCACACTCAAGTGCCCACTCCACACCTCCCCTCAAATTCATCACAGCCAAACTTGTGACCTTCTTAGTCCTGCTCTTCCCCCAAGATGGAAAAGGGCCCCCACCTCCGCCCAAGGAGCTGCAGAAAGAAACCTGGGAGTCTTTGAGGATTCCCTCACTCTCAGCCCCACGTCCAGTCCATCATCGGTGCTCCTGAGTCTAGTACCAACCCAGACATCAAGTCTGCCCACCGCTCTCCATGCACCCACCCAGCGTTGCCAAGCCACTGCTCCCTGAAGACACGTCTGCCTCGTGGACACCGCAGCTCCAGGGTCTGCTCAGAAATGGGTGTAGACTGACCAACTGTGTCACTGCTCTCTCGTGAGCCAGCCTTCAAGGCCCTCCACAATCTCGCCCACCTCCGCTCCCAGTGCCCCTTCTCACACCCTTCGTGGCACCTGGCCCAAGTTCTAGTTTTCAAGACCTGTTCTGTTACCTGTCGCGTCTATCCCTCTGCAGCAGCCTAGCAGGGGCAGAATGGTCTCCATCAGAGAGATGCGAGGAGGCTGCTCAGAGAAGGGTAGGAACCTGCCCAGGGTCACACAGCACGATGAGACAGGTTGTCTCCTGGCATAATGGGTACCTGCTGGCTCAGGCCCTACACCACCCTGCCCGCCTTCCTTCCCTCAGCACCACTGGGCCTGCCCTGGCATAACTGTGACCTAAAGCCCCTCCCTTCACTCTGCTGCTGCCTGGCCCACCAGCACTCCTGGCCCCAGCTCAGTGTGGAGAAGGCAGGTGAAAAGATGGCAAGGTGGCCACAAAGCCCTAGACAGAGGCTGGGATAGACACTGGCATTCCCTTTTATTTCTTTTTTTTAATAAATTTAAGAACAGCTCTACCTTCTCTCTTCCCCCCAGAACAACCAAAACCAACTAAAAAGGGGTGTGGCCTGGGGGGCAGAGGGCGCTAGGAGTCATAATCCTCTTCATCCTCTGCATCAGGTGCTGAGGGGCCTGGGGGCACTGGGGGCAGAGGCAGAGTTGAGGCAAAGGGCATGAAGGGTGTCGGGGGGCTGCCAGGCAGAAAACAGGAGAGGAAGGTCAGGCCACTGCTCATTCCTGACCCCTGAGCCACCCCCTGCCCTCCACACGGGCAGCATGGAGCCCACCGCCCTCGGTACCAACAGGGAGCCAAACCCAGAGAAGGGAAGGGCCCAAAGCAGGTCACACAGTCCCTGCCCAGGCCCCATCCACTGCCCCGCCCAAGAGTGGAAGGGACCTTCGGAGAGCACAGTCTCCTACCTTTAAGCCCTCCTCAGTTTCTCCCTTCCCATGCCCCAAATCTGCCACAACCAATAGATCCAAGTGGTCATGGAGGCCAGGAGGGACAAGTCAGCCTTGGGGAGTCTGCTGGCCCTTTCCTGGCACCCACTGAGCTGCTTACCTCTGTAAGTGGGCAGGGGGGTGGCTGGCCTGGGGTGGGGCCTGCGGTGTCTCCTCTTCCCCATCGGTGTCTGTGTCCTCAGACTCATCCTGGTAGCAAGGTAGGGATCAGAGGTGACAAGAAAGGCATGGACTCATCACTGGAAAGCACAGCCCCTGAGAGTAGCAGGGACGGGAGGTTGACCTCCATAGTCCCAATTTATAAACAACAAAACCAAGGTACAAAGAGATAAGAGGTGAGGATGGAACCAGGCTCCAACCAGCCCGGCCTGAGACAAGCCTGCCCTCTGCACACTACGAGACAGAGGGCTGGGGGCCTCACTCACCTCCTGCTCCGAGTCTGTCCCCGACAGCTTCTTATCCTTGCCTTTGCTTCCCATCCCACCATTCTTCCGGCCACTGCTGCCTGGCTTCCGGCCCCTTCGAGAAGGTACAGTCCATCTGCCCAGAGGTCACCCCCCCCATTCATCACCCCCCAGCCACCCCCAACCCTGGTGGCCTTGGCCTTCTCCACCTGGGCACTGGCCCTGGGTCCCCACCTGCGGGCACCCTTGTCCCCATCCATGTGGTTGTCTTCTCCGTCCCCCTGCATGTCAGGCACAGATGCCACCAGGTCCTTTAAGAAGTCAAACTGCTGCTCCAGCTCAATGCACTGTTTCCTGGAAGAGATGGCGAGGGGATGACACTCAGGTGGGGCCCAGATGTCTGGGCCCTCAGCAAGGGACAGTAAGAGGCTCTGGATGTCAGGAGAACAGAGCCTGGAAAACCTCCACCCCATCTCCACCACCCGACCTCCCCCGCTTTGCTGGAACACCCAACCCCTCCTCCCCCAGTTCAAACCCACCAGTCTTGGAGGCCTGGCTGGTTTCCCAGCAGCCTCCCACCTCCCTCACTATAAGAACGCAGCCTCCCATAACTGTGTGAACGCCTGGGGCACGGCCCCACCCAGCCCTCTCAGCTCCGCAGCCACTCACAGGTGGGATGTGGTCATGGTCTTGGCATTTCTGGACTGGGTCACCTGGCAGGCCTTCTTCAATAGCGACTCCAGGAAGAGCTCGAGTGCCCGGGCTGAGGGGTGTCAAGGAGAACGCAGCTAGGGGGGTCCCCAGCCCACATAGAAGACCCCGGGCTGCCTCCTGCCCCACGTCCCTCAACCCAACCAGCCCCCAACAGGATACAGATGATGACAGGCACAGCCGCCGCCACCTTCCCAATCTCTTCGTCTGTCTGCATGATCTTCTTGATCCGCGCCTGGGGAAGGGAGAGAGCTCGGACCCCGTGGCCTCCGACCCAGAAAGGGGTGCTGGGGGCGAGCGAGGGGGGTATCCCAGGAGAAGGGGGGAGGGGGGCACGGACGCGGGGAGGGCAAGGAAGGGGGCGGGGCGTCCGGGCCCCCGAACAGCGCGAAGCGCCCGCCCCCCCAGCGGGGCCTGGGCACAAGCCTCACGAGAGCCCGGCCGCTCCTCCCGGGCCCGGCCACGTGCTCACCGGCGGGAACCGGGCGTTGTACTTCTTCTTCTTGCTCGGCATCTCGGGGACTCTCTCGCCGCGCCGGGCCCAGCGCCGCCGCCCGCAGCCTCCCGGCCCCGGGGCCTGCTCGCCGCCCGCCCGCCGCGGTTCCCCCGGGTCCTGGCGCCGCCTGCTCCGCCCCTGCCGCTCCCCACGGGGTCCTAGCGCCGCCAGTCAAGACGCCGCTCGCAGGGCTGGAGTGCCCTCCCCTTGTAGCCTCCCGGGCGGTGCACGTCGGTCCGGGACAGGGCCGCCACTCCCACCCGCGCCCAAGGCCCGGAGAGCGAACGTTAGCCCCGCCCACGCAGGCCCGCCCCTCCCCGG